AGATGTAGTCTAAGCAAATGTAGCCGCTGCTATCCTTACTACTTGCAGTAGTCTTAATACTACAACAACGGTCATCAGTGCTCTCGCCACGATTGTTCTACCACTCAACCCGTTCTCGCAAATTCGTAAAGTCAATATTGACTTATTAAATATGTGCATAGGTGACATACTTAACATAATAGATACCCTTAAAAAGATTCATAGAAAACACCGACCTTACATAACCTACTTAGTATGTTAAGATAAGCATCTTATTGCTTCGTAATTATAATTATTACCTAACCTATAATAGGTATAGGTTAAGTAATAATTGTAATTACGAAGCAATAAGATGCTTATCTTAAGAGACTAACAAGGTTAGGTAAGGTTGGTGTTTTCTATTAATCTTTTTAAGGGTATCTATTATGTTTAGTATATCACCTATGCACGTAGTTAATAAGTCAATATTGACTTTACGAATTTGCGAGAACGGGTTGACCACTACTGCTACTGCTACTTGACAACCCTCTGCATCGGCAGAGGGTTGTCAGCAGACTGCAGACTGCATATTTCTGCACTGCCAAAAAGCCTTTGATACAGTACCGCACATGAGACTCAAACTTGATAGCCAGGCAGGAGTAAGCAGAAGGGCCCTAGCATGGGTAAGGGAACTAGCTAACAGGAAGGAGCCAGAGCGTTACGGTAAGGGGCGAGAAGTCGGACTAGCGAACAGTAGCGAGTGGAGTACCTCAAAGAACGATGTTGGGACCAATTCTATTTCTAATGTATGTTAATGACATGTTTACAGGAGCAGAGTCCTATATGTTGATGTTCGTGAATAACGTAAAATTAATGAGAAGAATTGTATTCACCTAGTTGTGCTTGCGGGGGTTGAGCTCTGCTCTTTCGGCCCGCCTCTCAACTGTCAATCCACTGTCACTACCAACATTTTTTTTACACACACATACACACACACCGTCCCACCGTCTCCTCCCTGTCCTGTCCCACCGTCACCTCCCTGTCCTGTCCCACCGTCACCTCCCTGTCCTGTCCCACCGTCTCCTCCCTGTCCTGTCCCACCGTCACCTCCCTGTCCTGTCCCACCGTCTCCTCCCTGTCCTGTCCCACCGTCTCCTCCCTGTCCTGTCCCACCGTCACCCCTCTGTCCTGTCCCACCGTCTCCTCCCTGTCCTGTCCCACCATCACCTCCCTGTCCTGTCCCACCGTCTCCTCCCTGTCTTGTCCCTCCGTCACCTCCCTGTCCTGTCCCACCATCTCCCTGACCTGTCCCCCCGTCACCTCCTTGTCCTGTCCCACCGTCTCCTCCCTGTCCTGTCCCACCACCCCTGGTGTCCCTGGGGGAGGTGGTGGTGGGGGACGAGTCTTGGGACCACTGAGGGCGGCCTGTTATTGCCAGACTTGAGGCGAGAATGTTGGAAATTGTCAAGACGAGATCAATGTGTGAGAGATAAGCAGGTCACTGACCCACGGATATGTGAGGTCACTGACCCACGGATATGTGAGGTCACTGACCCACGGATATGTAAGGTCACTGACCCACGGATATGTGAGGTCACTGACCCACGGATATGTAAGGTCACTGACCCACGGATATGTGAGGTCACTGACCCACGGATATCTGAGGTCACTGACCCACGGATATGTGAGGTCACTGACCCGCGGATATGTGAGGTCACTGACCCACGGATATGTGAGGTCACTGACCCACGGATATGTGAGGTCACTGACCCACGGATATGTGAGGTCACTGACCCACGGATATGTGAGGTCACTGACCCACGGATATGTGAGGTCACTGACCCACGGATATGTGAGGTCACTGACCCACGGATATGTGAAGTCACTGACCCACGGATATGTGAGGTCACTGACCCACGGATATGTGAGGTCACTGACCCGCGGATATGTGAGGTCACTGACCCACGGATATGTGAGGTCACTGACCCACGGATATGTAAGGTCACTGACCCGCGGATATGTGAGGTCACTGACCCACGGATATGTAAGGTCACTGACCCACGGATATGTGAGGTCACTGACCCACGGATATGTGAGGTCACTGACCCACGGATATGTGAGGTCACTGACCCACGGATATGTAAGGTCACTGACCCACGGATATGTGAGGTCACTGACCCACGGATATGTAAGGTCACTGACCCGCAGATATGTGTGGTCATTGACCTGGGGATATGTGAGGTCACTGACCCACGGATATGTAAGGTCACTGACCCACGGATATGTAAGGTCACTGACCCGCAGATATGTGAGGTCACTGACCTGGGGATATGTGTGGTGTGGTTACACGCAGTCTGCAGTCAATTGAAGCTGGCACTCTAGCTCCTCAAAGTACCTGAGGCAGGCACTTCTTATGTCATTTCCAGGTCAGTGTGTTCAATCTGTCCCAACCAGAAGAATGGAACAACATTACCACGACACAGTAAGTGAGACCAGAAGAACAAGTGAGTGAATGTGTACACATAGAAATTACAATAGCCTGATGCATCAAATGAACAAATCCACAAGGGCCTTTTCAGAGTGCTTTGCTGGCAGGCTGTTGGACCACTGATCTGAATGGTAAATGTTTAACGACTTGGTCCAACAGCCCGCCAGCAAAGCACTGTTTGTCAAACACGGATCCTGTTCTTCAAGATTCCCCCCCCCCCCCCCAATAAACTGTGAGACATAGTGAGTCCCAGTCCCACGAGTCATACGGTGAGTCCGACGAGTTCAACTGTGAGTCCTGCGAGTTATACAGTGAGTCCCAAGAGTTATATTTACCCGGGGTGAGGCGAGGCGTGGTCAGCATACCCCGTGCAGGGCATGACATACCTGTGGGGGGGGGGGAAAGGCAGGCGCGCGTGACCCCCCTCGTGCGCCTCAGCACGGGGGGGCGGCGCCAACATTTCCAATAAGTAAGACGCCTAACATACTGAAAACCAATGGTGGAAGTGGTGTGGTGGGTGGTGTTGACAGCTGTTGTGTTGCCTCTTGTGTTACTGCCCCCCCCCCCTACCCCGCGGCTCACCTTGTGGGTTTCTTGCGACGGTTCCGAGGATCAACGTCCCAGCGGCCCGGTCTCTGACCAGGATCTTTGGTTGGTTGTCTGCTCAATCAGGCTGTTGGGCTGATTGTCCCACAGCATAGTTAATGGTAAACTGTGCACCCCTAATGGTGCACAGTATCCCCCATGGAGTGCTGCCTATCCCCGGACATACTGTATACCATCGGTGCACAGCAGGCGAAGTATACTGTGCTATACCTCCTCCAGAAACACAGTGCTAATGATACACTTCGAACTATACCATGCACCCCCCCCCCTCCCTCTGGAGCACAGCGACTACGATGATCTGGGAGGGAGGTCGGTCAGACGGAGGGAATGACTGACGGAATACAGACGGAGGGAGGGAGGGAGGGACAGACGCATCGGGCTGAGGAAGGGAGGGAGGGACAGAAGGAGGGAGGGAGAGGGACATAACGCCAACTCTAGCACCGGAGACTCATATAAGTACAAGACCATCCGCAGCAAAAACTACACCAGCTAAAGCCAGAATTCGTGAACCTAAATAAAGAGGCATTTAGGTCGTTATTCACCGCCAACGTGGGTACGCCGCCCCGTCGTGGAACCCCATCTAAAAAACAATGAAGGAAGCTTTAATAGGTTCAGAGGTGTGCAACAAGGCTGATTGTCTCCCTCATGGAGAGAGAGAGAGAGAGAGAGAGAGAGAGAGAGAGAGAGAGAGAGAGAGAGAGAGAGAGAGAGAGAGAGAGAGAGAGAGAGAGAGAGAGAGAGAGAGAGAGAGAGAGATGCGTCACAGAAATGTAAGAAAGTTTTCATACAACGTACGAATTGTGGGAAAATGGAATGAACAAAAGGAGGGAAATTGGTCAGGGAAATATGCATTAAGGTCTGGATTTACTGCATTTGACAACAGGCTGATGAAAGAGCGGGATCCAGGAGCTAATGCTCGGACCTGCTGGCACAAATATGTATCGGACTGGAGAAATGTCACAAGTGGAGTGCCACAGGGTTCAGTTCTTGCACCAGTGATGTTTATTGTCTACATAAATGATCTACCAGTTGGTATACAGAATTATATGAACATGTTTGCTGATGATGCTAAGATAATAGGAAGGATAAGAAACTTAGATGATTGTCATGCCCTTCAAGATGACCTGGACAAAATAAGTATATAGAGCACCACTTGGCAAATGGAATTTAATGTTAATAAATGCCATGTTATGGAATGTAGAATAGGAGAACATAGACCCCACACAACCTATATATTATGTGAGAAATCTTTAAAGAATTCTGATAAAGAAAGAGATCTAGGGGTGGTTCTAGATAGAAAACTATCACCTGAGGACCACATAAAGAATATTGTGCAAGGAGCCTATGCCACGCTTTCTAACTTCAGAATTGCTTTTAAATACTTGGATGGCGATATACTAAAGAAATTGTTCACGACTTTTGTTAGGCCAAAGCTAGAATATGCAGCGGTTGTGTGGTGCCCATATCTTAAGAAGCACATCAACAAACTGGAAAAGGTGCAAAGACATGCTACTAAGTGGCTCCCAGAACTGAAGGGCAAGAGCTAAGAGGAGAGGTTAGAGGCATTAAATATGCCAAAACTGGAAGACAGAAGAAAAAGAGGTGACATGATCACTACATACAAAATAGTAACAGGAATTGATAAAATCGATAGGGAAGATTTCCTGAGACCTGGAACTTTAAGAACAAGAGGTCATAGATATAAACTAACTAAACACAGATGCCGAAGAAATATAAGAAAATTCATTTTCGCAAACAGAGTGGTAGACGGGTGGAACAAGTTAGGGGAGAAGGTGGTGGAGGCCAAGACCGTCAGTAGTTTCAAAGCGTTATATGACAAAGAGTGCTGGGAAGACGGGACACCACGAGCGTAGTTCTCATCCTGTAACTACACTTAGGTAATTACACTCACACACACACACACACACACACAGTTGGGGGTACTCACCACGTCAATGATCTGGGTGAGGGCGAGGCCGAAGGTGATGTTGAGGGCCATGGAGGCCTTGAAGGAGGGCCTCACTGACTTGTCGTAGTTACTCATGAGGTACCGTGTGAGGCGGTACTCAGCCTCGTCCGCCCCGCCTCGCCACGCTGCCAGGGACACGGAGAGGTCATCAGTCACAAGCTCAAGTACAAGTTAACAAGCTCAAGTACAAAAAGCAATGTGCTGCTACCCTATTCTATACCAAGGATTGCATTATATACATAAAAAACATGTTATGAATTCCCTCAATATCCCCATCTCACAGGATGGTTACTGATACATGGCATCAGGAGACAACGTGTGATGGGAGTCCAGTCTAATAGTCTACACCAGCACACTCTACGGAGAGCAGAAGACCATCCTTCAATATTCATGTGTGCATGAAGTAGTTACAAAGCTCAAAGTATTTAACGTCATTTGGTCGACAATCCCTGATAACCATACACACACACACACACACACACACACACACACACACACACACACACACACACACACACACACACACACACACACACACACACACACACACAGTATTGGAGAGCGTGTCGCAGCTCTTGTTAACATAGTTTACAATAGAAACGTTGACCGTTGGAGGGTTCATTACCTGCAGCCACCTGCCCTAAGCACTGATATCCCCAGTGGCTAATTCTAACCATTACAATGTCTTATCATCTAGTGGATGTTTTGTGTCGCCCGTACACATAGTTCTCGGCTCTTACCGTATCCTAACTCTCATTCTTGTCAACACAGACTGAAACTCCTGGGTGTATATTAAGTTCAGGATTATCACAATTAGCTTTAGCTTACTTGTCCTTATCATGCAGGTGAGGGAGGGGTGAGGTGGTGGGGCAGTGAGGGAGGGGTGAGGTGGTGGGGCAGTGAGGGAGGGGTGAGGTGGTGGGGCAGTGAGAGAGGGGTGAGATGGTGGGACAGTGAGGGAGGGGTGAGGTGGTGGGGTAGTGAGGGAGGGGTGAGGTGGTGGGGCAGTGAGGGAGGGGTGAGGTGGTGGGGCAGTGAGGGAGGGGTGAGGTGGTGGGGCAGTGAGGGAGGGGTGAGGTGGTGGGGCAGGGAGAGAGGGGTGAGGTGGTGGGGTAGGGAGAGAGGGGTGAGGTGGTGGGGTAGGGAGAGAGGGGTGAGGTGGTGGGGCAGGGAGAGAGGGGTGAGGTGGTGGGGCAGTAAGGTGGGGCAGTAAGTGTGGGATGGGAGAAAATAAACAAAATTAAATCAAAAGCCAAAATGTTTACTCTGTTCCAGGATTGTCTTGAAGTAAGTCACCAGACCGTGATAACAGGACAACGCGTCTTCAACAAGAAGCAGCGGCCAAGACACACCCAAAACTATCAAGTTTCATCAGACTTAAGCCTAACAATGTGAAGAATGGTGGCTAGATTTATTCAGCTCCAACCATCTCTCCAGATCTGTCCTCTAATACTTGTGAAGGCAAACTACCTGAAGATACTGTACTTTCTGGAGAATAACGGCAGCCACGAAACAAAACATCGCCATCATTTGCAATGTTGCTGAAGACTTGGGCAATAATATCACGGTCAGGAATTCTGAGAAATTTGAAAGAAAATTTGTAAACTGCCCCAAATTAAATGTCATCTGCTAAGACGCAACAAACTGACCAAGTCATCATGCAGCCCGTACCATCCTAAGATTCCCCAACGTCAAGACATTGTCTTACTATAGTGCCCTTAACCTTAGCTACCAGAGGACCCAAAACAGAAAACGGGACAGTACGTCATTTTCGCGAGCCACTCCCATTTTCTAGTACAATTTTTGGCCTTAGGTCAAAGGCCAAAAACGTCAAAATGCGACGTTTAAATGTGACGTAATAGAACGTCAAAATGCGACGTTCTATTACGAGGCCGGGTTGCGTCATGAGTGAGCCGCAGCCTACTAATAAACAGTTCAGGTTTCCAAAAGCTGCAAATAAACGTAGTTTCTCACTGACAATGATATATAGGAAACTTAACAACGTTGAACATTGTCTTACACGGCTTTGTTATTCCGGAAGCATATATATATATACTCATATGCAACTGAAAACTCCACCCCCTATTCAGGCTTGTTCGCATATACTTATATATATATATATATATATATATATATATATATATATATATATATATATATATATATATATATATATATATATATATATATACATTCAGTTCATTTAGAGTGTGAGAAAAAGTCGTCTCTGTGATGACGGACTAATACAACTACTGGTAGGGAGAGGCAGTGTCCCCTGTGCGAGGTGAAGAAGAGCATTGGTGTAACGTTTCAGAACGTTTAACAAGCATCACTCTGTATTTAGCTGAATGTTTAATGTAGTACTCAGATTACCGGATGTTGTATCTCAATATATCACAAGTGACCTATCATACCAATACTGCCAATATGTTATATTTCACTATGATAATCATGTTGCCATTCGCGTGCCCAACACCACCTATCAGGAGGCAAATCGGATTAGCAGGAATACAGAGATTAACTAAACACAACTTGGCGTAAATCTATATATTTAAAATATGTACACAATATTTCACAATATGTACACCAGCACACAACATCACTATAAGTCACCAACCGACATCCACCCCAGCATCCGGTGGTCACATCCTAAATCCTAATTACCCAATCTCCTGTCCCCAGAGACCTTCCTTGACTCTCTCATATTACCAGCCAATGTTAGTCACTCATATACTCACACATGGTACTCATGACCCAGGTATTACTGTGACACAGTCAACACCCCAGGTCTCACAGTCACCACCCAGGTCTCACAGTTACCACCCAGGTCTCACAGTCAACACCCAGGCCTCACAGTCAACACCCAGGCCTCACAGTCAACACCCAGGTCTCACAGTCAACACCCAGGACTCACAGTCAACACCCAGGACTCACAGTCAACACCCAGGTCTCACAGTCAACACCCAGGTCTCACAGTCAACACCCAGGTCTCACAGTCAACACCCAGGCCTCACAGTCAACACCCAGGCCTCACAGTCAACACCCAGGCCTCACAGTCAACACCCAGGCCTCACAGTCAACACCCAGGTCTCACAGTCAACACCTAGGTCTCACAGTCAACACCCAGGTCTCACAGTCAATAACCAGGCTATAGCAACTGTCATTAACCAGGCTATAGCAACTGTCATTAACCAGACTATACCCACAGTCAATAACCAAGCTATAGCCACAGTCAATAACCAAGCTATAGCCACAGTCAATAACCAAGCTATAGCCACAGTCAATAACCAAGCTATAGCCACAGTCAATAACCAAGCTATAGCCACAGTTAATAACCAGACTATACCCACAGTCAATAACCAAGCAATAACCACGCAGAGCAACAACATAATGTCAGCTTCACCCCCTGACATCAATCACCACACACGATAAACCTCAAATCCAATAACAGACCAATCAAGTCATGGAACAGTTAGACGGATCAAGGTCCAGAGGTCACCCTTCCGCTTCCTGCACAGTGTTCATCATACTGAGGTCCCTGTAGGTCAGTGTTGCCTGCACAGTGTTCATCATACTGAGGCCCCTGTAGGTCAGTGTTGCCTGCACAGTGTTCATCATACTGAGGTCCCTATAGGCCAGTGTTGCCTGCACAGTGTTCATCATACTGAGGTCCCTGTAGGTCAGTGTTGCCTGCACAGTGTTCATCATACTGAGGCCCCTGTAGGTCAGTGTTGCCTGCACAGTGTTCATCATACTGAGGCCCCTGTAGGTCAGTGTTGCCTGCACAGTGTTCATCATACTGAGGCCCCTGTAGGCCAGTGTTGCCTGCACAGTGTTCATCATACTGAGGCCCCTGTAGGTCAGTGTTGCCTGCACAGTGTTCATCATACTGAGGTCCCTGTAGGTCAGTGTTGCCTGCACAGTGTTCATCATACTGAGGCTCCTGTAGGTCAGTGTTGCCTGCACAGTGTTCATCATACTGAGGTCCCTGTAGGTCAGTGTTGCCTGCACAGTGTTCATCATACTGAGGTCCCTGTAGGTCAGTGTTGCCTGCACAGTGTTCATCATACTGAGGCTCCTGTAGGTCAGTGTTGCCTGCACAGTGTTCATCATACTGAGGTCTGTGTAGCGTTGCAAATGCTAGATATGGGATGTGGTCGTGGCGGAGAGAGGTGATGGTGAGAGTGAGGTGATGGTGAGAGTGAGGTGGTGGTGAGAGTGAGGTGATGGTGAGAGTGAGGTGATGGTGAGAGTGAGGTGATGGTGAGAGTGAGGTGATGGTGAGAGTGAGGTGATAGTGAGAGTGAGGTGATGGTGAGAGTGAGGTGATGGTGAGAGTGAGGTGATGGTGAGAGTGAGGTGATGGTGAGAGTGAGGTGATGGTGAGTGAGGTGGTAGGGAGAGTGAGGTGATGGTGAGAGTGAGGTGATGGTGAGAGTGAGGTGATGGTGAGGTGATGGTGAGTGAGGTGGTAGTGAGAGTGAGGCGGTAGTGAGAGTGAGGTGGTAGTGAGAGTGAGGTGGTAGTGAGAGTGAGGCGGTAGTGAGAGTGAGGTGGTAGTGAGAGTGAGGCGGTAGTGAGAGTGAGGTGGTAGTGAGAGTGAGGTGGTAGTGAGAGTGAGGTGGTGGTGAGTGATGTGGTAGTGAGGTGGTGGTGATAGTGAGGGTGGTGTCACGGAGCTCACCGCTACCCTGAGAGTGACCGACAACAAGATGATCCCCACCAAATACAATGTGAAACTCAGACTATAACTGTGATAATATTAAATAAAAATATATCTTCCTCAACAGCGGGTTGGGAGGAAGGTTTCTGAGGTCTGGAACACGTTCCAGAGACACGTAATAAACGTGAGGTAGCTGGAGCTTGTTGGTGTAGGTTACACATATATGTGTTGAGGTTGGGAATAACTGTCTAGGCCCCTAGGCCCATAAGCTAGACACAGGTGTCGTCAGCTCCGGTGGCCTTGTATATACCGTCGAGTATTGAGTCTGAAAGACAATCTAGCAACGCAGGGAAAAGATCTATCGCCACAGACAGTTTGCAACACCTTTTATGATGTGCAACATCTACTTGCGACTAGAGGTCGGCTGGTGTTGACTCGCTGTCTGTGTCGCGGTCACAGGCG